GAGAGAGCACAATATAGTCGGCATTTATGCGAAACCTTTTGACTGCCCTGCCTCAGACATTATATTTATTCATTGGATGTATTTTGGAATCATAAGTTTTCGCAACCTCCATACCCCCATATGACATCATCCATATCAACAAACCCGCATCAGCTCCCTTTGTCCTTCTCTAAATTTCTCCATCACTATCCATAGATGGCGTCAGCAGAACCGGCGCTCTTTGCGCTCTGATTAGATGACAATTCCATGATCCCTCAGAATCGTGGTTCAAACACTCTTTCAAAGATTATCAGAGTGAAGCCATGAGCTGAATTGGCCGATATTGAACACCCTCGCGTATTGCCTCTATTCTCCATATACCGTTGTGCTCTTTGACCAATTATGAGGGATGCTCTTAGCTTTGGCCTGATTGAAGAGGCCCGGAAACCAAAAGGCATCAAGCCATCCGCTTTCTTTCCAAAATTCGCTTGGAATATCATCTGTACCGCTAGCCTTGCCGCTTTAACTTGGCTCTCGCAAGCCATACAACCTCTGCTGTAAGGGCGTTAGCCTTTTCACGGTCATCAGATGGTCTGGCTGCTTCAGTGACTGGAGAAAGACATTTCTTCAAATTATCGCCATCTTCCAATTATCTCCTGTAGTCTCCTTAACATTTTTCCAAGCTTGTTTTTGATATAGTACAAATATTCCAAATCTTTTACGAACTCTGCACTCCTTCTCACTATTCGCTACATTTCTCGCTCTCCCTCCGTCTGATTTCTATACAACTCTTCTACGTATGCCTGTTTCGCTTTCTTGACCATTTCCTCTGCAGAGTGTTGCATTCTTGCAATCAGATATCAGACATCTGTCGTTCTCTTCCAATTTCGACATATGCCTTTGCTTGTATGCTTGCTTCTTCCCATGACACAATATGAACCTCACGTTCCACTACTGATTTTCTTTATCGATTCTTTTTTTACTGGCTTCGTACGACCTAAAATTCCTTGTTACGCTTCAAGGTTGACAACAACTGCACTAAGAGTACCTACCACTGTTGAGAAAATCCCTTTCACTTTCCAAACTTGTCGTAGTTTGTTGTTAGTCTAGGTTTTCTTTGTTTCCAACGGGAATTTTTAGGATCGCTGCCCTAGTCAACTTCTGTTCGACTTTTTTTGTAGCAATAGGTGTTCATGCTTCTTCGTATAGTGATTGTAGACTATTGCTAATGAAGTGTAGCTAACTCAGAGATAGCCTTCATTGCCGTTCCGTATCCCTGGTTCCTGTGACCCTTTCCTGCCCTATTTCTTTTGTACCCCACATGATCAATAAGGTCTGCTCCAAGCAGGTGTATCTCATCCTCTGGTATGAATGCGATGTAAATGTAAAGTTCCTGCACGTATTCTTTCATCCTTCTTGCATCCGGCTCGTGGAGCATAGGCGGTGACAATCCGAAGGTTTTTTCTCCCAGTGTCAATCTTTATGTAAGTCGACCAGATAATCGGTCAACTGTGGTGTGCTTCTTAGGCTTTCAAAAACAGCTATACCTACTCCATTTCGACTTTGCTTGTGCCAC